ATGTCCTCCCTGTTACATATCACTGAGATATCTGTCTGAGCCCTGCATCTCTACCCCCTCCTCTAACCCTGGGACCTGCTTCTACTCCTTTTTCTTATATCAGCCGCCGCCTCCATGCTGAGTTTGCCGCTGAAAGAGACTGGGACCAGTTCCACCAGCCTCGGAACCTCCTCCTGGCCTTGGTGGGAGAAGTGGGGGAGCTGGCAGAGCTCTTGTGAGTAGATGAAAGGCTTCTGGAACACTCTTTTTGTTGTGGCAGGGGGGGCGGGTATTTGATCATCAATATCCATGGAATCCTTCCCCTTCTCACTGCAAGCCTCTGTTCTTGGTTGTGGGGACACAGATGACTCCACTGTCCCTGCCCTCTAGGGGTGCCCAGCCTCCTGTGAGAGAAAACAGGAAGGCAGATCTTGGTCTAAGAAGGGGTAGTGGCAACCTTCCTGTACCTCTACCTGTGGGGTGCAAAGGAAGGTATTTTATAGAAGACCTGCCTGTGGCATTCCAGGCCGGGGAACTTCATGTGAATAGCTAGTCAAGTGGGAAAGGGGAAGTTAAATTCAAGGAGAACCTGGGGGGAAAGGGGAGGACATCTGTAATCCTTTCAACAGTAAACATATTTTTTTGATTCAGGGAGAACCTGAAACTTTAGTTGTAAGCTTCTCAAAGAAGAGCAACGAGTTTGTATCTGTTTTGTTACTTGGTGTGTTCCAAGTGCCTGGCACACAATAGACATTCAGTTCATATCTACTGAATAAGTGATAGGGCTGTAGAGGAAAGGGGTGGGATATGAACCCACAATGATAAATTGGGGTTAGAAATTGATGGAGTTTGGACAGAAGACCTGACCAGATTTGAGTGGTAGAAAGAGCACTGTGTCACAGGGAGCATTGAATCACCAAAAGAATTAGGTCAGGGAGACCAGTGAGGAAGCTGGTGTAGATCAGGCCAGAGGTGGTGAGGCCTAAGCCAGTGAAGTCACTGCGGGGATGGAGAAGTCATGGCACAGAGGCATGTGAGGGCAAGCTGTTCATTTATTGCAGATTTATGAGCATCATCTGTGTTCTTGGTCTTTTAGAATCAAGAGATATGACTGTCCATAAGACAGACATCCTTCTTACCTTCACAGTGCAAGGGACACTGACAATAATTAAGGAAACTAATATTAAAACATGAGCAATTGTGATAAGTTCTATGAGGAAAATAACACAAGGTTGTGAGAAAGAAGGAAACAGGGAAAAGGTTTTTCAGAAGATGTAACACATGAGACCTGAATAACAGGAAGGAGCCAGCCATGGGAAAGCTCTGCGGGGAGCAGGGAGAAGATCATTCAAGACAAAGGGAAAGTAAGTGCTAAGGCCCTGTGACAGTTTGCCCTGTTTACAAGACAGAAAAAAAACTGTGACTTTTAAGTGGGGAGTTAGAGTAGTGGATAATGACATTGGAAGGCACAAGAGTCAGTGAGCTCATGCAGGACCTGAAGGGCATGGTTAGGGGTTTGGATTTTATTCTATGCACAGCTAAGGAAGTTTTAGCACAAAAGGGACAAACTGTAACTTGTGCTTTTAAAAGATGATACTGGGCAAGAATAATGAGTTAGCCGGCTTCCCCCGTGGTCCAGGTCTGAGGTTAAGTCTCGGGTGGCAGTGGCTAGAGCTGGGAGAGAGTAGAATTGGGTCTTGAGCAGTGAAATGATCTCTTGCCAACTCTTTGGCTCAAGTGGGGACACAGAAGTCTGGGTGATTCATCTGTTGGGAGTCTCTTCCTCACCCTGATGCTACCCAGGATCCATTGGGTTTAATTGTCCTTGGAGGAAGTTTCTAGGACATGGGAATTCATTGCTGCAGGGACTGCGGTGCTCTGAGAGGTGGAGCCCGTTGTCCTAGCTAGCGTGCCTATCTGTGTGTTCCATCCCCAGTCAGTGGAAGCCCGATGAGGAACCTGGTCCCCAAGCCTGGCCCCCTAAGGAACGGGCAGCCCTTCAAGAGGAGCTTAGTGATGTCCTCATCTACCTGGTAGCTTTAGCAGCCCGCTGCCGTGTGGATCTACCCCAAGCAGTGCTCTCCAAGATGGACACCAACCGGCGACGCTACCCAGCACATCTGTCCCGTGGCTCTTCCCGCAAGTATACAGACCTGCCCCATGGGGCCACCTCTGAAGACCAGACTGTGGGGACTGCAGACCTTGCCTGTGAGTCCACAGGTCAGGCCTCAACCTAGACACATGGGCCCAGGATCTGCAGCTCAGCATGGCATCTGAGGAACAGATGGTGACCTGGCCATGGAACCTCATTCTAGTCCTTTCCTAACAGATCCCTGGCCTGGGGCCCCACTTCCTGAGGTCCGAGGCTCAAGAACCTCTGGAAGACAGCCTCTTGGTACTCTTCTCTCAATAAAAGTTTTGTTTAGCAGCTTCTAGATTCCTTCTGGTGTGGCAGTGGGGGCTGTCTCAGCACGTACTAGAGAGGGGCACCAGGGTTGCTTCTGAGTCCAACTCCCACATTTGTCTATTGTACTTTAAACCTTCAGGCCAGATATCTGTCTGTGGGATCTCCGGCAAGTTTCCTTCCCCTTAGGGGCCTCTAACAGATTGGAGGCTGTACATTGCCTCAAGGGCCCAGGTTTTGGAGCCAAGCCATCAGGGATCAAATGCCATATCTTTGATACTTAGCTGGATGATCTTCATTGGTTTCCTCATCTAAATAGAAATCAGTATTATCTACCTGTTAGTGTTGTAAAGTTTAAGTGAGTTACTACTGTCAGTAGAGTGCTTAGGACAGTGCCTGGCATATAGAACTTTGTAAGTTTGCAACTATTATCTGTCTTTCTTTGTTGTTCATCCTCACCCAAGGATATTTTTTCCATTGATTTTTCTTTTTTTAGAGAGAGTGGGAGGGAGGAGGGAAGTGGAGAGAAAGAGAAAAACATTAATGTTAAAGAGACCCATCAATTGGTTGCCTCCTGCACGAGCCCCAGCCGGGTCTGTGCATCGAACCCAAGACCCTCCGGTGCTTAGACTGACACTCTAACCACTGAGCAATGCCTGCCAGGGCTCATTGTTTTTCAACTCAAAATTTTGCGAGGCTCAGCAGGAAATGTCAACAGCTAAGGTAGGCCTGGGTCCAGGACTGAACCTCAGACCCCAGCACAAACTTGGGTCAGGTCTCTGGCATGGAGCAGAATAGGGCTTCTACTCCTCTTGGGCTTGGGTCTCTTGTCCCTTGCTCTGCACTCCCAAGACCAATGTCTCTATGCATTTCTGTACCTAAGGACAGTGTTAGGTGGGTATGATTTACCTGAGGCACATCACTCTCTCTCCTGAGATGCCCTTGGCCTGCCTCTTTCATAGGGTGTGGTAATACTGGACAAAAGATCTTTACATTATTTTTGCTGCCCTTTTAAGCCTGTTTCCTTATCAGTAAAATGAGGCATTTCCCTTTACTGGCCTCATCCCTCTTAGTGATATCCCTCTTACCAGTGACCTCTCTTACTTCCCAGGTAAAACAATCCAGATTAGAACTGCTTCAGCTTTGTGTTCCCAAACCCTACCAGTGATAGTTGGAGCCTTATCCTTACTGGTCAGATTTCATTCCATCTCCTTGATCAACTATCTCCTCTCCTCTCCCTTATATATAATCGAGTTCTCTTCCTTTCACACCAGCACAAAAACTGAGTCTTCTCCCTACAAAACCAACAAACTCTCCAGCTACTTCCCTCACTTTCCACAACCAAGCCTCTTAAAAAGGGTTGTGTACACTTATCCACTCTGCTTTGTCCTGCCATTTATACACGAACCCACTCAAGACTAGCTTTTACCCCTCTCTCTCCACTAACACTGCTCATCGCTTGCCCAAACTCCAGAGAAGAATCTGATGGAGCTGACCACTCCCTCTGTGACACTTTCCTTACATTTCCCAAACAAGACACTTCTGGTTTTCTGTCTACCTCTGGCTGTTCTTGCACAGGTTCCTCTTGGGTCCCTCTTCTGGATGAGGTGTCACACTCCAGACCTGATATCCACAACCTGTTATTCCCAATCACCTCTCTGAGCCCTCCACATTTACCTTACATTCAACAATTCCAGATTGGGGGTAACAACTGCTGCCACTTCAACTGTCCTCTTCACCCTGTACCATCTCAGTGACACTACTTGCCATCATCCAAGCTAAATAATGAACTTAGCCCCACCTCCCTCATTCTCAGCATTTTAGCTCCTTAATATGTCCACTCCATCCCTCTCCTTTCATCCCTCAAGGCTTCCTTGCTGCCCTGGATCCTTTCACCAGGCTTCTTAAGACCCCTAATGCTCTATCTCCTGCCACCTCCTTGCTTGTCCCTATCTTCCACCCCAGGGAATGTCTGCAAGCTCTAACAGGTCTGGAATGCACTTTCATGGGATTCCCCCACCCTACCTCTCTCTTAGCCTTCAAGACCAGCTTAAACTTATCACCTCCAAGAAACACCTCTCTTAACTCCAGGATTGCATCAAAGACCTACCAACAACTCCCCTATACCAGGTGACTGGACTACAAACGCCTAAATACTTGTCCCTGCTCTGCCATTCACTGCCTGTCAGTACCTATTTACTCATCTGTGTTAATGAAGATACGACTTACCTAAAGGGGATGCTGAGGAAGAAAAGGAGCTAATAACAATAATGAAGCACTTAGCACCTTTAACATAGTGCTATAAAGTACTTTTGTCTGTCTCTTCAGTACACTGAGCTGCATGACGTTCATGGCTGCTCACCAAAGCTCTGCCAAGTGCAGTGCCTGTTGAGCACGAATGTGCTCTACATATGGACCCTTGCAGATCGGAGGTTATGAGGACATAACTAAGGGCAGAGTGTGGGATGACTCCACACACAAATGCAGTTCCAGGAGCCCTTTGGGCTTATATCCATCCCCAATTGGTTTGAAAATTCACTTAAGTCACCCGAGCCTGGGGAAAGCCCCAACTTTGCTCCTCTCCCCACCCGCCACATTCACAGGCACCGGTGGGGTGAGTATATAACACTTTATTTACTAACACGGGCTGAGGACTTGTAGTAGGGACAAGTGGCCAAGGTTTCCCGAAATCCTGGTAGGGGATTCGCCATGTCACCCAGGTTCCAGGCAGCCAGTCCTGTCATCCCTCCCTTTCCCGGACCAGGGTGGCGGGGACTCATCGTCCTGGTTAATTCAGCTACTGGGTGTTGGGGCCCTAACCGACCCTCCTCAGCCGGACACTAGCACTCCACGGCGACAAGCACGTTGCTCAGCTACCCTCGCACTCTGGACAGCGCTCGGTCGCAGTGGTGGCTGTGGCACCAGCAGGCAGCTTGAAGTCTCGGCCGCAGACAGCGCAGATGTACAGACGGCGCACCATGTGTGCGCGACGGTGGCGGATGAAGTGCGAGCTGAGGCGGAAGCGCTGGCCGCACTCGCCGCACGGGTAGGGCCGCTCGCCTGTGTGCGTGCGCGCATGCTCCGCCAGGTTGGAGCGGTGGCCGAACCGGCGGCCGCACACGGCACAGCGGTGCGGCTTCTCACCCGTGTGCACGCGCCGGTGCTTGGCCAACGCCGAGCTCTGCGCGAAGCGTGTGCCACAGTCGGCACATTCGTAGGGCCGCTCGCCGGTGTGCGTGCGTCGGTGGCGGGCCAGGCACGAACTGCCGCCGAAGGCGCGTCCGCAGTCCGGGCAGGCGTAGGGCTTCTCGCCGGTGTGCACGCGCAGGTGCTGCGCGTAGTTGGAGCTCTGCGCGAAGCGGCGGCCGCACTGCGTGCACCCGTAGGGCTTCTCGCCAGTGTGCCGCCGCCGGTGCTGCCTCAGGTTGGAGGCGGCAGAGAAGCGCTTGTCGCACTCGGGACACTCGTAGGGCCGCTCGCCGGTGTGTGTGCGGCTGTGTTTGGTCAGCGCCGACTTCTGCGAGAAGCCCCTGCCGCACTCGGTGCATTCGAAGGGCCTTTCACCCGTGTGCGTGCGCGAATGCTTGGCTAGCGTGGAGCGGCGCGCAAAAGCTCGGCCGCAGTCCGGGCACGCGTGTGGGCGCGCCGGGTCGGCAGACGGCGCTGGCGCCTGGCTGGGGACCTGCGGAGAGAGGGGGTACAGGTCAGTCCTGACCTACAGGCCCCGAAGCAACAGGCATGGGTCTCTGAAAGCTGCAATCTTTTACCTCTGTGTAAGGAAAGCAAGCGTGCCAGCCTCAGAGCCTGGCTGTGCGCCTTAAATTAGATATTGCATTAACGCACATAGCATAATGCCTAATGTCGTTCTATCTATTCTTTATAAATTCAGAAAAGAGTTATTAAGGGCTATAATGTGCCAGACTCTGTTCTAGGCACTGGGGAATCAGTATTAAACTTTTAAATTCCTGCTTTCAGGGAAAAGGGGATGATTGCTGGTACTGGGGGGAATGCTGCAAATTTAAATACTGTTAAGAAACTACTGCTGTAACTAGGGGAAAGACTTAAAGGAGGTAAGAAAGCAGGCTACAGAGGGCACAGCAAGACCTTGAAGCAGTTTTGCCAGTTAGGACCCTGCAGTGGCAAGAAAAAGTGCCTAGGGCAGAATGCACGAGGTGGAGAGTAATTGATGGGGTGGCCCTGGAGGGGATCTCTTAGCTTAGGGCCTTGTAATATGAATGAGATGGGGAATTATTGGAACAGATGTTAGACGGTACTAAGCAGGAACATGGCCAGATCAGACTCATTATTCAAGCCTCCATCAGGTTGCTGGGGTTTAAGGAGGTGAAGGGGCAGGAGTCCAGGGAGCAGCAGGCTACTGTACTGCAGTCATTTGGCAAGAGAATATGGTGGTTGCCCTGGCCGGTTTGACGCAGCGATTAGAGCATCAGCCTGCGGTCCAGAGAGACCCTGGTTCAGTTCCCACTAAGGGCATGTACCTCGGTTGCAGTTTGTCCCTGGCCCTGGTTGGGTCGTGTGGGTGGCAACCACTTGATGTGTCCCTTTCATGTCATTGTTTCTCTCTCTCTTCCTCTCTCCCCCTCCCACTCTACGTGAACAAAAAAAGGAAAAAATGTCCTCAGGTGAGGATAAAAAAAAAAAAGAGAGAATACAGTGGTTGAGAACCAGGTGACAAGTGAAAAGTGAAGGTGGTGAGAAGCAGTCTGCTTCTAAATATATTTGAGACAACCACTTTGATAAATAAGACTATGAGATGTAAAGAAGAGTCAAATTACTCCAAGGATTTTGATTTTAGCCATTAAAAAGGTGGAGCTGCCACCTGCAGATAATGATGGTGGGACAGCAAGTTGACAGGTGAGATCTGTTTTAGATCACATCTCCAATTCTTTGTTTTTTTTGTTGGGAATCCTCACCCAAATATTTTTCCATTGATTTTTTTTAGATAGATAGAGTGGAAGGGAAGAAGGGAGGGAAAGAGAGAGACACATCTATTGGTTGCCTCCTATATGAGCCCTGACTGGGCCTGGGATCTAAACTGCAACCCAGCCACAAGCCCCTGACTGGAACTGAACTGGCCACCTTTCAGTCTGTGGGCTGATGATCTAACTGTGAGCCAAACTGGCCAGGGCACATCTACCGTTCTTGACATGTCTGGAGCACAGGAGATAGGCGTAGGCTAGAGATGTTAATTGGGAAGCCATCGGCCTATAGATGGTTTTTAAAGCCTTGAGACTGAATGAGATTACCCAGGGAATGGGCAGAGAGAACCAGGGGCAGCAAGATGAGGAGCACCCAGTGAGACAGGAGAGGATGGTGTCTTAGAAGCTAGGCCAAAAACAAATCCAGGCTTTTTAATAAATTTTTAAGATCCAGCACGTTAACACTATTTAAGCTGCGAAGAAGGCAAGAGTAAAACCCAAATACAGTTCTGAGGCCTGAATTGAAAATGTGCCAGTTTCACGAATCTTGGGCTTCTAGAGATAAAACAAGAAAAAGAAATGTTTTGTAAAAGCCAGTGAAGGGAACACATTGTATTTTAACATTTTGTATTAACAATAGAGGGAAGCCCTGGCCAGTTTGGCTCAGCGGTTAGAGCGTCGGCTTGCGGTCCAGAGAGACCCGGGTTCGGTTCCCGCTAAGGGCACGTATTTCGGTTGCAGTTTGTCCCCAGCCCTGGTTGGTCGTGCGGGTGGCAGCCACTCGATGTGTCCCTTCACGTCGATGTTTCTGTCTGTCTCTCCCTTCCTCTCTCTCCCTCCCACTCTATCTGTACAAAAAATGGAAAAATATCCTCGGGTGAGGATTAAAAACAAAATAATAGAGGGAAGAATATTGAGGGCATTTTGCTTTCCTAGAAATGAGAAGGTACCCTAGCTGGTATGGCTTAGTGGTTAGAGCATCAGCCTGGGCACTGACGGGTTGTGGAGGAAGCAAGTTAAATGGAGGAAAGTGACAGCTAGCAAGTAGTTAAGACCTTTATTTCTTTTCCCTTTTTTTTTTCTTTAAAGAATAGCTTATTGACCCTGGCTGGTTTGGCTCAGCAGTTAGAGCATCGGCCTGCGGTCCAGAGAGACCAGGGTTCGGTTCCCGCTGGGGGCATGTACCTCGGTTGCAGTTTGTCCTCGGCCCTGGTTGGGTCATGCGGGTGGCAGCCACTCGATGTGTCCCTTTCATGTCGATGTTTCTCTCTCTCTCTCTCCCCCCCTCCCACTCTATCTGAACAACAAAAAACAAAAACAAAAAAATGTCCTCGGGTGAGGATAAAAAAAAAAAAAAGAATAGCTTATTGATTTGTAGAGGGAGAGAGATAAAAATCGATGTGAGAGTGCAACATGGATGGGCTGAATCCTGCCAGGAATCAAGATGCAACCCGAGCATGTGCCCTTGACTGGGTATCAAACCAGCAACCTTCTCTGCACAGCACCCAACCACCTGAGCCACCCTGGCCAGGGAGAGACCTTTACTTTAAGTTGCAAGGAGGGAAACTTTAAGGCCTTGAAGATAAGAACTCTGGTTTAAACTGTATATATAATGATGATAATAATTCCAACATTATAGTGTAAAGCTTTTGTTAATGTATGCTATTGTATTAAATCCTCCTGTCACCCCTTTGAATCAGGTGTTGTCCTTTGATAATTAAGAAAACAGGCTCAGGTAGATTAAGTTCTCATAGCCAGTGGGAGTCAGGGCCCTTAACTAGTAGGCTACACTGCGTTTCCCTGCATTTGCACAGCCAAGATGTGGCCCAGGCTGGACTCCAAGTCCCTGGCACTCTCCAAGAGGGATTCAAAGTTAAAATACAACTTGATACTTTAAATCGAGAAATTCCCCATAGCAGATTTGGCACAGTCTGAATTTACCGCGACACTCTCCAGTCTTGGCCTGGTTTGACCCCTATTGGGTTAATTTCAGCACATCAGCCATTGTGGAGAGAACTTTTTAATTGTATCTACATTGTTTCTGGCCCTTTTTTCTTTGGCACCCTTTTTAAAGTTGGCTTTGACCACCCTGAGGACTACCTTATGCTGGGTTCACTGATTTAGGAAGAAATTCTTCACACAAGTACTCTTGGTATATGCAGCACCAGGAAGAAGGGCTGAGAGTAGCTCATTAATACCCCAGGCACCCGACTGGTGTGGCTCAGTGGTTGAGCATCGACCCATGCACCAAGAGGTTGCTGGTTCAATTCCCAGTCAGAGCACATGCCCAGGTTGTGGGCCCAATCCCCAGTGGGGGGCATGCAGGAGGTGGCCAATCAATGTTCTATCTCATCAATGTTTCTACCTCTCTCTCCCTCTCCTTACCTCTCTAAAAATTAATAAAGAAAATAAAAAAAGAACCCAGGCAATTCACTCCCTTTCCAGGCCTCAGTGAACAAAGGTGAGGTAGGCTAGATAAGATAAAACTTGCCCAACTTGAGGTATGCACACATCACAGAATGCAAGAGGATTCTAAGTTTTCTGTAGGCACACTTTTATCTCATTATAATCATGTATTTATTTTCATGGATACTAGAAAAACAAAGGATCACATGAAACACACAGTTTCATCGATGATATTGTTTGGATGAAAATGGATTTAACAAAAACAATGTGAATCTCTCTGAAGCAAAGCATTAAGTAAATGAGCACAGTGGGTGAGCGATATACATGGTACTGAAGCTTGGCAAATACCAGACTAGGTGGTCATTAAAGACCCTTACATATCTTAAATTCTACAACTATTAAATTTAAAATTTAGAATAAATGGTATTTGCACTGTAACAAGAGGGTACGATGGGGAGACAATGTAATACAGTAATATGATAATCCAAGTTCTTGAAGTTATTGAGTCTGTCTTCCTATTTATGTATTTTTTTAAACCACAACAAAGCCTGGCCAGTGTGGCTCAGTGGATTGAGCACTGTCCCATGGACTGAGAGGTCCTGATTTGATTCCCGGTGAGGGCACATGCCCAGGTTTCAGGCTCCATTCCCAGTAGGAGGCATGCAGGAGGCAGCCTATCTATGTTTCTCACATTGAAGTTTCTATATCTCTCTCCCTTAAAAATTAATAAAAACATTTTTTAAAAAACACACAGCACCCTGGCCAGTTTTGCTCAGTGGTTAGAGCACTGGCCTGCGGACCAGAGTGTCCCAGGTTCGGTTCCCTGTAAGAGCACGTACCTTGGTTGCAGTTTGTACCCGCCCCGGTTGGAGTCGTGTGGGTGGCAACCACTCGATGTGTCTCTCTCACATCAATGTTTCTCTCTTCTCCCCTCTCTCCCTCCCACTCTATCTGAAGATAAATGCAAAAATGTCCTCGGGTGAGGATTAATAAAAAATAATAATAATAAATAAATAAATAAAATAAAAACACACAGTAAAGTCCCCAGTTTCCTCCTCAGCTATTACTTTTCTTTATTATTATTATTATTATTTTTATCCTCACCAGAGGACATTTTTACATTTATCTTTAGATAGAGCAGGAGGAAAAGAGGGGTGAAGAGAGAGAGAGAAACATCAATGCGAAAGAGACACACTGACTGGTTGCCACCCACACGACCCCAACCGGGGCCGGGGACAAACTGCAACTGAGGTACGTGCCCTTAGCGAGAACCGAATCAGGGACTCTCTGCTCTGCAGGTTGATGCTCTAACCGCTGAGCCAAACTGGCCAGGGCAATCATTACTTGTCTAATTAATAACAACAGCTACCATTTATTGAGCTCCCCATGTATCAGGGACTGTGCTAAGTGCTTTTCACCCACGTTTCCATGTTAAATACTCACACCCTTTTATCATTACCTCCATTTTATAATTAAGGAAATAGGACTCAGAAGTGACTGATTGACTACCCAAGGCCCTACAGCTAATCAATGGCAGAACCAGGGTCTGAACTTGGAAGTGTCATCATTCAAAATACCTATTCTCTTAGTCATGATGAAATTTTCTCACAAGTTTGAGGTCACCTGTACAGCTTGTCTCCCTTCCCTGGAGTCTTTTCAGAATCCCCACCCTTTTTTTAAAATTTGTTTTTATTGACTTTTAGAGAGAAAGGAAGGAAGAAGGGTGAGGGAGATGGAGAAAGAAGAGAAACACCAATGAGAGCAGCTGCCTCTGACCCCCTACCAGGGATCGAGCCTACAACCCAAGCATGTGCCCTGACCAGGAATAGAACCAGCAACCCTTTGGTGCATAGGATGACACCCAACCAACTGAGCCACACCGGCCGCGGCCAGAATCCCCTTCTTTTTGGTACTAAGAGCAAAATATAATCCCCTGTAGATCCTTGCTACAGGAACTGTGGTCCACAGACCAGTCATATTATATCACCAAGTCCCACCACAGCCCTACTGAATTGGAATCTTCACTTTAACAAGATTCTCAGGTGATTTGTATGCACGTTAAAATTAAGACACTTCATCTAGAAGAGAGAAGAGCAAGTCCTGGAGAAAGCAGGTGGAAAAGGTGAAGAGGGTTTTACAGGCTGAAAAACCACACCGGCAAAGTCTGTGAGGTGGGAAGGGGTCAGGTCTGTTTGAAGCTGGGGCATGGGACTGGTGTTGGGCGATGAAGCCAGGACATGAGGTCAGATGGTGTAGAGCTCTGAATGCCAGGCTTGGGAGCTGAGACTTGATCCTGAGGGAAACAGAAAACCACTCAAAAGTTTAAGCAGAGAGAGGCGATTGGATGTGCATAGAGCTCTTGGAGAAAATCTTTGTATCCATTAAAGAGAGATTGGATTTTGATAGGCAGTGAGAGAATGCTTCAGTGCCTGTGTGCAGCATAGTTCATGGACAATGAATGACTGGCCTAGGATTGGGAGATAGCTGAGTTACAGGATGTCAGCACTGGAAAGAGCTTTCGAGATCACAATTTTCATAGAAACTGAGACTCAGGGAGACCACACAGCAAGTTAATGAGTTTCCTTGTGGCCACAGTTTATGGGACGTGTGTAAGTAATGCTCAGTTCCACCCTCCTCCTCCAAATCCAGTCACCCAGACGATACTTAGATTGGCTTTCAAAAATCTTACTTTCATTATCTCATTTTACAGATGAGAAAGCCAAGGCAAAGCTGATAAATGGTGGAGCTAGGATCTGAACCAGTGCTTTTCACTGCTACATGGACCATTTAGAGTCTAGCCCTAGCCATGTGCACCCCTCCCCCATCCCACCCTTAGCTCCAGCCAGTCCAATCAAGGTTCCCAAATATCCCCTACTTTCTGTCTTGTCTCCACTGTGGTCACTACCAGAGAGCAGGCTACCAGCCTTACATGGCCTGTTCTTCCACAACAGCCAGTGAATCTTCTAAACAGAAAATCCAATGTCCCTCTTCTGATTTGAGGCTTCTGATGGCACCACATAACGTCACACAGTATGATAAATTCCTGTGCTGGCTTTCAATACCATTAACTCTCTGGCCCCATCTCCTCTGAGCCTTTACTTTTGTTGTTTCCTCCCTGGAATGCCCTTCCTCTGCCTCCATTTGACATCCCCACTAAGCTGTCTCTGTGAAGCCTTCCCCACTGCCTTATTTGCCCTCAGTCCTCTGTCTAGGCCTCCATGTTGGTTTCCTCTTTCATCTCCACCGCCCCCCCCTTTCTAATCAAAAAGGCCTATGATAAAAATGAGTTGAAAAATCTCCAGAAGAATGACCTAGACCATAGTCCTGAACTTTAGGGAAAAGAATGAATGATAGCACCAAATACTTACACAGTGTTTATTATGTACCATATACAATTCTAACTCTTTACATGTATTAATTCATTTAATCCTCACACAACCCTATGTAGGTGATGGTATGATTTTCAAATGAGGAAAGTGAGACAAAGGAGGTTAAAAAATTTGCTCAAGGTCATAGAGCTGGTAAATGATGGAGATGGAAGTCCACCCTAAGCTCTGGAGTCTGAGTTCTTAACTTATAGGTGGAGTGGGGAATCAGAGGATCCACAGCCAGAAGAGGCAGACTAAGCTAGGATGACAGGCCAAGGAGGCCTGAGAAAAACAGTTATTTTGCCTGGAAGAAGAGGCCAAAGCAGCTAGCCCCTCCCCTTCCCTCCCCTCCCCTCCCCCCTCCCCCCTCCTCGGGCCCACCACACCCACTAGGGGGCAGCAGAACTCTTGCCCTGGGAACTGGCTCCTATGCAGGAAGAAATCAGAACCTGAGCCCAGAAACCTGGCCCAGCCAGAGTTCTCTAGGTATAAACAGGGTTGCATTGGCTGGGGGTGGGAGTTGTGTAGGGTTCTGGGAAGTTGTGGCAGTTTGGGTCTTGAAGGGGGAAATCTAACTCATATTCTGATATTAAAACTCCTCTGTTTAAACCTTCATCACCCTCAGAATAAAATCCAAATGCGCCACCTGGCCTGCCAAACACCCTAATCTCACCCATGCTACGGCATGACTGAACAACCTGCCCTCACTTCGCCCAGTGCCCCATTCATGCCCTCTTAGCCATGGAAAGGCCATTTCTTCAGTCATCCACCTCACCCCTCACTCTCACTGGTCTCAGATAAGCCATCGCTTTACCAACTTTGAGACCTTGGGCCAGTGACCAAACCATCAATCTTCCTGGGCCTGTTTCCTCATCTGTAACATGGAACAAATACTACCTATGGTATAGAACTGAGGTGCTTAAAACAGTGTCTAGAGAATAGTAAATGCTGCCAAGAGTCAGAAGTTACTGTTGCCGAACCTGGCCCCTCCCCCACCCCAAGTCTGCATTAAGTTCCCAGCTCTGGGCTTCCACCTGGTGCCTGCACTCATCACACAGGATTGTAGCTGCATGGTTACTTAGCAGTCTAACGCTGCTACACATCAAGCTCCATGGGGAACCAAGGATAGCATTTACTCTACGGCACCCAGCACAGAGCCTGGCACAGGAGGTGTGACATCTGTTTGATGGCAGCATGGGCACTGGGGCAGAAGGATGGGTTGCTAACCCTCAGATTCTAGATCTGAGATTCAGGGGAAAGTAGGGGCAGGATCTCTGGCTTCTGTCTGATGGAGGCTGGCCCCGGACTAATTTAAGGGCAACTGGGCTCCAGGGTGTGGGACACGTACCTCCTTGTTGTCCATGGGGATCTTGAGCTTCACCACCTCATACTTCTCCTCACCCTCATCCTCCTCACCCTTCACCAGCAACACCATCTCCTCTTGCATCTCTTCCTCCTCCTCTTCCTCTGCCTGCTGTTCGCCAGGCATCTTGGTGTCCTAGGGCAGGCAGCTGTGTCAGAAACTCAGAACCCTCCCCCCACCGTGGCCCAGGCCCTGGTCCAGGCCCAGGCCCAGGCCCAGGCAATGCGGTGAAGCCGTAGTTTCTCTAGCCCTACCCTGGTCTCCGGGTCTGGCCCTCTCCCCTCCCACCCCAGCTGGGTCCTAGGCACCAGCACTTCCCCGGGACCAGCTCCGAAGACGCTCCTTCCCGGCATTCATCCCGGCATTCAAGGCCCTAAACAGTTCGACTTCCACTCCCAGCGAGTCGCCACCCTCTCCGCGCTGAGTCACTTCCCGGCGCCCGGGTCTGCGGCCTGGAGCTCTGGGGCACCGGCCGGAGGCGGGATCGGGGCGGAGACCCTGAGGGTGCACACTCACCAGCCGCTGGTTCCGCATTCGCGCAGCTCTAAGGACAGGGCTACCGGCGGTTGAGTACTCAGAGAGGCCGCGGCTCCGGGGGCGTGGCCAGACCTCAGGGCGGCCTGTCATTGGTCAGAATACCTAGCCCCGCCCCCTATGGGAGGCAGCCAGAGGACCCAGGCGTTCGGCCCCAACTGTCCCAGGAGGATGTAGAACCCGGAGCGTAATTACTGACGCTGTCCCCCAACTCCTAGGATCCCAGGCAGCTCCACCCCGACTTTCAAGGTCCTCGCAGTCCGGTTGTGACCTACCTACCTTCAAGGCTTGTCTCCAGTGGCTGGCTCAGAGGTCTCGGCTGCTGCCAAGCACGTCCGCTCCGCCCAAAATAGGCCACGTGCGCTCCAGCCCTTGGTCTGGGCCTCTCGCTGGCGCCCCGCCTGGAGGGCGGACCCTGTTGCCTCCTCACCTCTTCCTTTTCCTCTTTTTCCTCCTTTGCAGTCTTTTCTCCTTTACCAGCGTAGTTTTTCAGGTTTCCTAGTCTCTGGGATACTTTGTTCTTTGAACACATACTTACGAAATCAACAGCCACAAAAAGCTACAGCTGCCGTGTCTTATGTGGTGTGCCTACAATGCGCCAGCCTTATGCTAGGAGTTTCACATACCTGATCTTTTTAAAATTAAATGTATTGGCGTAAAATATCACCACCCAAAATCTATTCTCCTTAGGAGAATATAAAATATCATTTATTTTACCCTTTTTACCCTCTTCCCCCCACCACCTTCTCCTGTGTTGTGTGTATCTATGAGTTGTTGATCTCTTTTGCTCTGCACAAAGGTGGGTCTATTTTACAGATAAGCTTATTGAAGTTCTGGGAAGTAAACTGATTTGCCTAAATTATGCAGTAAGGGTTCTCATATCCCCCCCACCCACCCACCCACACACACACACAATCTAGAAGTCTAGGTAGAATATGGATAACTCACAGGCCAGATCCAATCCACAGAAGTATCTTGTTTGACCCTCGGTGTTTTTACATTTAAAAATTAGCTTAGCCGTGGCCGGTTTGGCTCAGCAGTTAGAGCATCCGCCTGCGGACCAAGGAGTTGTGGGTTCGATTCCGGTCAAGGGCGCATACCTCAGTTGCAGTTAAATCCCTGGCCCTGGATGGGGTGGTGTGGGAGGCAACCAATCAATGTGTCTCTCACAAGGATGTTTCTCTCTCTCTCCCTCCCTCTCTTCTTTCATCCCACTCTACGTGAAAAAAACGAAGAAAAAAAAGCTTAAAAAAGGTCTTTTACAAATTTTTATTTACATTTAAAAATTGGGATATTCATTTAAAGATTCTGCATTTCCCATTTCTCTTGAAAAAGATATCTAATTCTTCCATTTTTCGATGGAGCAACTAAGAATCAGAAATAATGAAATAAAAGAGAAATAACATTCAGTAAATAAAAATTCCTACCTTGCCTCTTTACAGCAGCTCTGTCTGGGGATCAGTAACATCTCCCTTTGACAAATGAAGGAAGTAAAGCTTAGAGAACTTAAGTAATTTGTTCTAAGTCACATAGTTGGTAAGTAGCAGATTCCAAAGCTCTTGTTCTTTCTATTGTACCAAACTATCTGTCAGAAATGAGGTTAGATGAGGAAATTGGTAGCAGAGCCAGGACTCAAACCTGAGTTTCAGTCCATGGAGCCCAGGGCACAATTTGGATTTAGGAATTACATCTGGTCAAATGCCTGGATACTCACACTCAAGATCCCAAAAGCCACTTTGATTGTGTTCATTCTCTCAAGTATTCATTGAGCCCTACTATGTGCCTGGCACCATTCTAGGTATTGGAGAAGCAGTAATGAACAAAATAGACAAAAAATCTTGACTACTATGGCCCTAAGGGTGTAGAAAATATAAACAATATCCCTGGCCAGTTTTGCTCAATGGTTAGAGCATCGACCTGCACACCAAAGGGTCACGGGTTCGATTCTCAGTCAAGGGCACATACCTGAGTGGCAAATTCAATGCCAGGCGTGTGTGGGAGGCAATCAATCAATGTGTCTCTCTCACATCGATATTTCTCTCTCACACTCCCTCCTTCCCTTTCACTCTCCCTAAAAAAAAAAAAAAATCAGTGGAAAAAATATCCTTGGGTGGGGATTAACAAAAAACTAAATAAAACAAGATAATTTCATATCCTGATAGGTGCATGAAGGAAAAAGAGCAAGAGGATGTAATAAGGAGTGGTGTGGTTGGGGGCTTCTTTAATGTGGGCAGGGAAGGCACCTCTGAGGTAATAATATTTGAATTGCCTTAAATGATGAGAAAATGTTAGCCATTTAAAATTCTGGGAAAACAGTGTTCTAAACAGAGCTACAAAGACATTAAGGTGGGAATAATTTTGGCATATTTGAGAAAAAGAAGGCTTGTGCCCTGGCCCATATGGCTTAGTTGACTGGAATGTTCTCTCACATATCAAGAGGTCATGGGTTCGATTCCCAGTCAGAGCACATAAGCATATTGGCGGTTCTATATGGGGTCAAGGAGTGTGCAGGAGGCAATTGATCGATGTTTCACTCACAATGATGTTGTTTTTTCTTTCTCCTTCTCCCTTCCTCTCTCTTTAAAATCAATAAAAGCATGTCCTCCTATGAAGATTTTAAAAAAGAAAAAAGGCCCTGGCCGGTTTGGTTCAGCGATTAGAGCGTCGGCCTGCGGTCCGGAGAGACCCGGGTTCGGTTCCCGCTAAGGGCACGTACCTCGGTTGAAGTTTGTTGCCGGCGCTGGTTGGTCGTGCGGGTAGCAGCCACTCGATGTGTCTCTTTCACGTCGATGTTTCTCTCTCTCTCTCTCTTCCTCTCTCTCCCTCCCACTCTATCTGTAGGAAAAATGTCCTCAGGTGAGGATTAAAAAAAAAAAGAAAAGAAAGAAAAAAGGCTCATGTGGCTGGAGCCAAGCAAGTTAGCAAGGGAAAATGTAGTGTGGGAGATGAAAGAGAGCTAGGCAAGACCCCGTTATGGCTGGAATCCCATTTCTAACAAAGGTAAGGCCTGCTCGCCCTGAATTAGAGTCAGTGAGGAGACTTGGCTGCGAGCACTGAAAGTTCCTACTGGAAGGGCCTTCTGCTGGGGAAGGACTTTGGAACTCTGCTTTGAAAAGGAGGACAAGGACCCCATCCATTTGTTCTACAAGGAGGTACAAGTATTTGCCTAGAATTGGAGCTAGTTCTTGTTCTTGAGAATCTCATAGGCTAGTAAAGAAGATTGTGATGAAAAATACATATGAGTATATATAAATAGGGGACTTCCGGTCAGGATGGCGGGTAGGTAAACTCGGTATCGCGTCCTCCCACAACCATATCAAAGTTACAACTAAACTACAGAACAACCCTCATTCAAAACCGCCTGAAATCAAGCTGAATGGAAGTCCTACAACTACGGAATTAAAGAAGCAGCTACATGGAGACTGGTAGGAGGGGTGGAGGTGGACAGGCTGGTCCCACACCCACGTGTGGCGGATAAAAATCAGGAGGACACCTCGGCTGGGAAGTCCCCGTCCCACACCAGGTGCCCCACTCAGGGTTCCAGTGCCTGGAAGAGAATCCCCATCACTTCTGGCTGGAAAAACCAGCAGGAACGGAAGCTCAGGGAGGCTGAGGCGGCTGGAGCTCCAGGCAGCTCCTTAAAGGGCCCGCGCACGAACTTTTTGGACTCTCTCCCTCTAAGCTTGGAGAGGAGGCAGCTCAAGGGGCACCGGAGACATACAGGGAAGAACTGAGCTGTTTGGCACTGGAGCGAAGGCTGGAGAGGGGGATTTCTCCTGGACAGACATGCTGTCAGAGGCCTTTGTTCCTTTGGTGAGCCCTTCCCTGGGGCGGCAGACAGTCACCATACCTGAAACTCCAGCAACCTGGCTCACACTGTTTGCCCCACCCTGGTGATTCCCTGAGGCCCTGCCCCACCCAACTTTCAGGCCCACCCAAGCTGTTGCCAGTTGCTTTACCATAGGATTGGCCTGTCTTGGATCCTGCTTCAGGTTTTCCTAAATTCTTTCCAACAAGCAGCATCTGGTCTCAGCTAGCCCCATACCTCTGTTAAGTAATACACAGAAACAAACACAGGGAGGCAGCCAAAATGAGACAAAGAAACAAGTCCCAAATGAAAGAACAGAAGGAAACCCCAGGAAAAGAACTAAGCAAAATGGAGATAAGCAACCTAACAGATGCTGAGTTCAAACCACTGCTTCTAAGGATGCTCAATGAACTTAGTGAGAACCTCAGGGAACTTAGTGAGGGCCTCAAGAATTTAAAAAAGGACCAGTCAGAAATGAAGGATGCACAGTCAGAAATGAAGGAGGCACTAACTGAAATAAAGAATAATTTACACAGATTCAATAGTAGAGTAGGTAAAGCCAAGAAGCAAACCATTGATTTGGAATATAAAGAAGCAAAAAACACCCAATCAGAACAGCAAAAAGAAGACAGAATCCAAAAAAATGAGGATAGTATAAGGAACCTCTGGGACAACTTCAAGCATGCCAACATTCACATCTTGGGGTGCCAGAAGGAGAAGAGAGAGAACAAGAAATTGAAAACCTGTTTGAAACAATAATGGCAGAAAACTTCCCTAACTTGGTGAAGGAAACAGACATACAAATCCAGGAAGCACATAGAGTCCCAAACAAGATGAACCCCAAGAGGCCCACACCAAGACACATCATCATCAAAATGCAAAAGGTTCAAGACAAAGAGAGAATCGTAAAAGCAGCAAGAGAAAAGCAGTTCGTTACCTACAAAGGAGTTCCTATAAGGCTGTCAGCTGATTTCTCAAAAGAAACTTTGCAGGCCAGAAGGGAGTGGCAAGAAATATTCAGAGTGATGAAAAGCAAGAATCTACAACCAAGATTACTCTATCCTGCAAA